GCTTCAGTGTCAAACTGCCATCACTAGCTGAAACCTTACGGCCCGTCTACACTACAGGCATCGAAAAAGCTTGAAGCTGGGCGTGTCTGCAGCTTGGCGATTTTTTGCGAGCAACGCGACCAACAACCAATCACATGAATCTCCCGCCCCCGACATACAAAGCAATAGCAATGTTAAAACGAAGTAAACTGGATATAAAATCCCCAAACAGGCGAAAACCTACCAGTTTCACCCACTGTCTCTGCCACCTCCCTCCATGCCTGGTTCCTCCGGTTTGTATCCCGGTAAATAGTTCTGGTCGGAAAGAACCGGGTGATTTGCTACCGTAATTTCTCGTTTGGAATATGAGGAAATGAACTGCGGTCTGGCTCTCCCAGCTTGCACGCGGTTTGATTGGCTAGCGCTTGTACTGGCGGGAATTGCAAAAACGGGATTTGATTGGCTGATTTTGAGCCTCAAAAGTTTAACATTGTTCAACTTTTGATGCCGATAGACGCTCGCGATGCTTGCAACGCCTTGCCATGCTACCCACAATGCAGTTCGGCGAAGTTTGAAAATATCCTACTCCACCCCATTCAAATGAATGGGCGAAGCGTTGAAAGCATTTTTTGACGCCTGTAGTGTAGACGGGCCGTTACAGTTACATCACTTAGCAACAGCTGTACATGCCCACATGCTAACAGTGGACGTTTGTGTCGTACTACATGCGGTGTATTTTGCATATCTCTCAGTAGCCAACGATCTGTGAGTCTGTTGGCTCGGTCCGCTCGGACATAAACTCCGTAATAAATGTAGTCTACATTTCATAAGAGGTGTAAAACCTGAGTGTTTTAAATCACATTTGAACGAAATGCTTATATAATCTGTAGTTGTATTTGTATTGTTGATTTAATGTCTGAACGAGGCGATATAGAGAAGGTTAAGTCATTATTAGGCTGTAATTTGTTATATACTGTTGGAGTGGTAAGCAGGCCTATTGTTTTTGGATATTTGGGGAGTTAGGTGGTCCGTGAGTCTTTTTTTATTGGTTAAGTGGTCCTTGGTATGAAAAAGTTTGAGAAACACTGCCCTACAGAGTGCCACAGTGACACGTCCTAACCCTGAAGTAAGTTAGCATTTGACCACTTCCGGTTCCTTCGACAAAAACCAATGCAATTTCTCCATAGGATTTTGGAAAATAGCTCGAAATAAGGTCTGTGGTTGACACAAATTGAAGAGACAGATCACGTTTTATTCAGCCGGATAATATCCACATGTCTACCCTACTTTTATAATTTTCTAATCATAAATCTAATCGATAGATTTACAATCGATTGATTTATGATTAGAAAATGGAGAAATTGTATTGGCTTTTGTCGAAGGAACCGGAAGGAGTTTACTTCCAGGTTTTAGGATGCGTCACTGTGGCACTCTATACAGATAGCTATGTTTAACAAATAAATAATCTCTTTGATCGAACACATTATTAACAAATGTTGGTCGGCAGACAGTTTTGACCAGACTTATTTCATCAATATGTAAAATGAATGAATGCTTTTTCACAATGAATTGTGGAAAAAAGTGTCTGTGCTGTCCTGCATGTTATTTTAGTTAATACAAATAATTAGTGATGTTGAGTGTTTGAATGTTCAGAAAAATAGTTGCAGCCCCCTAAATGTTGTCACAGTATTAGTTATACTAGTTATATAATATTTTGGTTCATTTGTTTATTCATATATGCTTTGTAATACACTTTTAAAATGACACGTGCCATAGCGTTCTTACACTGAACAAAAATATAAATGCAACACTTTTGTTTTTGCTCCCATTTTTCATGAGGTGAACTCAAAGATCTAAAACATTTTCTATATACACAAAATAACCATTTCTCTCAAATATTGTTCACAAATCTGAAACAATCTGTGATAGTGAGCACTTCTCCTTTGGCGAGATAATCCATCCCACCTCACAGGTGTGGCATATCAAGATGCTGATTAGACAGCATGATTATTGCACAGGTGTGCCTTAGGCTGGCCACAATAAAAGGCCACTCTGAAACGTGCAGTTTTGCTTTATTGGGGGGTCTGGGGGGGTCCGAAAAACAGTCAGTATCTGGTGTGACCACCATTTGCCTCACGCAGTGCAACACATCTCCTTCGCATAGAGTTGATCAGGTTGTTGATTGTGGCCTGTGGAATGTTGGTCCACTCCTCTTCAATGGCTGTGCCAAGTTGCTGGATATTGGCAGGAACTGGAACACGCTGTCGTATACGCCGATCCAGAGCATCACAAACACGCTCAATGGGTGACATGTCCGGTGAGTATGCTGTCCGTGCAAGAACTGGGATGTTTTCAGCCTCCAGGAATTGTGTACAGATCCTTGCAACATGGGGCCGTGCATTATCATGCTGCAACATGAGGTGATGGTCGTGGATGAATGGCACAACAATGGATCTCGTCACGGTATCTCTGTGCATTCACAATGCCATCAATAAAATGCACCTGTGTTCGTCGTCCATAACATACGCCTGCCCATACCATAACCCCACCACCACCACGGGCCACTCGATTCACAACATTGACATCAGTAAACCGCTCACCCACACGACGCCACACACGCTGTCTGCCATCTGCCCTGAACAGTGAAAACCTGTCTGCGGTTATGAGGCCGGTTGGATGTACTGCCAAATTCTCTGAAACGCCTTTGGAGACGGCTTATGGTAGAGAAATGAACATTCAATTCAAGGGCAACAGCTCTGGTGGACATTCCTGCTGTCAGCATGCCAATTGCACGCTCCCTCAAAACTTGCGACATCTGTGGCATTGTGCTGTGTGATAAAACTGAACATTTTAGAGTGGCCTTTTATTGTGGCCAGCCTAAGGCACACCTGTGCAATAATCATGCTGTCTAATCAGCATCTTGATATGCCACACCTGTGAGGTGGGATGGATTATCTCGGCAAAGGAGAAGTGCTCACTATCACAGGGAGGCGTGTGGCGCTTTGGCGCTAGCTGGCGCAGGACCGTCTGTCAAAATCCAATCTATCACCCAATCATGATACTCGCTGTCCATTGTGAGATTGGACCTAAACCAATCACGACGCGAGTTCACAATGGACGGAGCCAATCACGTCACGGCATCACAATGGACAGAGCCACTCACGGCACTGCTTCTACCCGAACCCGCCCCCCTCACGCTTTTGGTTGACAGTGGACAAATCGCGAGGCGCATCAGAGTTATTCAGAGTAAGTAACAATACTATTGTTTCTATTTTCCCGTTTTAAATTTTTACAACCGTCGTTTTGGCGTCAACTTTTACATTACGGTCGGCAACTTCAGTCTGCACAAAGTTAGCAAGCCAGCATTGCTAATTCTATCGTGTCTAGGTTAAATACACGTTATTATATTAGTCAATGTCAACAGCCATGTGTGATACATCCGATTGACAACAGTCATTTAAATAAGTTGTTAAACAACTCTTGTATGAATGGGCATGTTGTAATTAGTAACTACACTTCTGTGAGCAGTGGTACAGAAGTCATACAGCATATATACTGTGAGGTGGGAAGTAACTAAGAACATTTACTCAAGTACTGTATTTTGAGATACTTGTACTTCACTTGAGTGTTTCCATATTTTTCTACTGTGTACTTCTACTTCACTACAATTCAGAGGTAAATGGTGTACTTTTACTCCACGACATGTGTTTAATAGCTTACCTTTAGTTACTTTACAGATTTGGTTAAGATGCCTTTTGGTTACTGGTGGCGTTTTATGAGTTTATGTTTTTCAGTTTATTTGTTCATATAGACACCTAAAGTATATCATATATTATCCATCCATCCATCCATCCATCTTCTCCCGCTTATCCGTGATCGGGTCGCGGGGGTAGCAGTTCCAGCAGAGAGCCCCAAACTTTCTTTTCCCTGGCGACATCAACCAGCTCTGACTGGGGGATCCCAAGGCGCTCCCAGGCCAGCGAAGAGATATAATCCCTCCACCTGGTCCTAGGTCTACCCCTTGGTCTCTTCCCAGCTGGACGTGCCTGGAACACCTCCCTAGGGAGGCGCCCAGGTGGCATCCTAACTAGGTGCCCGAACCACCTCAACTGGCTCCTTTCGACGCGAAGGAGGAGCGGCTCAACTCCGAGTCCCTCCCGGATGACCGAACTTCTCACCTTATCCCTAAGGGAGACACCAGCCACCCTGCGGAGAAAACCCATCTCGGCCGCTTGTATCCGCGATCTCGTTCTTTCGGTCATGACCCATCCTTCATGACCATAGGTGAGGGTAGGAACGAAAATGGCCCGGTAGACAGAGAGCTTTGCTATATTTATATCATATATTATATGATATAAATATATTTATGTGAGATAAGGGATCGTTGCTCACTATGATATGATAAAGTGTGTTATATGCTCCAGGAAGGATATAGTATATTGTTGAATATATATTCAAGATAGCTATATACTGTATATAACATTACATTAATTGTAATTCAATATACACACATCAATCATATATGGATAAAAGGACAACTTCACCGTTTATGAACATGATGTGTGTTTATTCATGATTATATGTGTAGATAACCTGTGTAAATAATGGTTAACATGGTGTCAGTGTTGTTCGCTTTGCAGTGTAGTTCTCTCTAACACTTGCATTGTTATTTTACTTAAAGTTTAGATGATCACTAAACCTATAAGCCATAACGAAATGGGAGATGCAGGATGGACAGGCTTTGGCCTTCAGGAGGGATAAACCCGCTCCAAGGAAACGGAAGTGACATGACCTCTGTCAGAAGGTAAAGTATAGAAACATATGTACTTATTACTTATTATTCACATATGATAAGTATATTACTGAACATTTACAATTTACTGGTGCAAATATTATCAATCAAAAGATTTACACTGAGTGACTCACTCCAGACTAAAACATAATGATGATAGTTTCAGATTAAGAAATGCTTCATGCATACATTTTATATCACACCCCCAGTAGTTACCCCCAGAGCCCAGCCTCCTCCCAAGCAGTCTCTGGGTGCTGTCCATGTACGGCAGGGATATCCTCTCCCACATGGACCATATCAAGGCCAGCATCACCTCCACATTTGGTTCCATCTTAAAGATGGACTCAACCAAAAAGGTCAAACATAACGTGACTGTGTATTTGATTTCCGTGTTTGTTAAACTCTCTTATAAACAATAACATTACAAACTAGTTTTTATTATAAATGTGTTCGGTTATAAATCTGGAAACATTAACTGCTATAGATCATTTCTAATAAATGCCTCAACTTCGCTGTTGTCACATTCCAGATCACAAAGCATCAAAGCAAGGTGGAGATGCAGCTCTTCCCTGCTCCACCCTCTGGCCCTCAGGTGGAGATGCAGCTCTTCCCTGCTCCACCCTCTGGCCCTCAGGTGGAGATGCAGCTCTTCCCTGCTCCACCCTCTGGCCCTCAGGTGGTGTTGCAGCTCTTCCCTGCTCCACCCTCTGGCCCTCAGGTGGAGATGCAGCTCTTCCCTGCTCCACCCTCTGGCCCTCAGGTGGAGATGCAGCTCTTCCCTGCTCCACCTTTGGGCTCCATGATATTTACTCCAGTGAGCTCACAGGTTCCTGTCCTGGTCGCTGCTCCACAGGCTCTGAATGCCAGCCTCTCTCTACTTTTCCTGCTCCTAGTCCTGCTCCTGCTCCATACAGCCAAACACTGACCCGCAAAGTACTGCCCAACACGTGTGGAGGTGTGGGAGCTTTGGGACAGCGGACACTGGACACAGCCAGTACAGGGAGTAGTGAACTACATTGTGCCAAAGGAACAATGGTTGGAGGACATAACAAAATGTATATCCCCCCACCAGAGGCATGGACACTAGACACTTATTTATGTATATAGTTCGGTGTATAGTTTGATATTTATTTATATATATGATATGTATATATTTTATTAAGTTTATGATAATGTTTATTTGATGTTAAAACCCATTTAGAGTGTTATTTTGTTATACTGCACCTTACTTACTTGTATGGGTTGTTTTACATTTTATTAAGTTGAACTACTTTCAAATAAAGGTTTGGTTCTATCAAGTACGTGACTGTCCAATAATTGAGTGGAGTGCTATGTTTAGAATTTCTATAGGTTTTCTCTTTGTTTGTTAAAAGAAATACATTATAACACCAATACCTTCTTAGTTCATATGAAATGTAATGGTTACATTTAAGTATTTGTCCACAGCACACAAACCATGAGCAGGTCAATATTGGTTACTTCAAAACTATCCCTGATAAAGAAAATAATAATAATTGTATGTAATAAACTTGAAAGAAGTAGATACGTTTTACTTAATATTTATTAGAAATATATAATATTTAATAGAAATGTGTTAATAGTTAACTGCATAACACAAGTGTTATTAGTCAACAAACGCATACGTTGTTGGTCTTTATTAAAGTACTTCTGTATATAAATACTTTTACATGCAGAAGGGAAACAGGGAGCAAGAGAATCGTTTTTTCTCCTCTTTTTCCTCTCTTTCTCCCTCTTTTTTCTTCTTCCCCCTTCTACCCCCTTCTTCTCCTTTCTTCCCCCCCCTTGCAAGACTATTGTTCCCCAGCTTTGGCGCAGTGGATAGAGCCTTGGTGTTGGGAACAGGGGGTCACAGGTTCGAACCCCACTGCAGTCAGCATGTCGTTGTGTCCCTGAGACACTTCACCCCAAATTGCTCCTGTGAGGATTGCCCACAGTATTGAGTATGGAAGTCGCTTTGGATAAAAGCGTCTAACAAGTGACATGTAATGTATCACAGATCTTTTCAGATTTGTGAACAATATTTGAGAGAAATGGTTATTTTGTGTATATAGAAAATGTTTTAGATCTTTGAGTTCATCTCATGAAAAATGGGAGCAAAAACAAAAGTGTTGCATTTATATTTTTGTTCAGTGTAATTTGCAAAAGTTAGATTCAAATTATTTATAAAAAGATTATCTAGTTATTGTTGTGCTTTTGTTTTGAAGGCGAACCTTTAAGACTTCCGGCGTTGTCATGATGTGTCTGTGGTAGCTTGACACCGAGTTAAACGGATTACAGACGGAGGATAGACACTCGATCGTGTGTCCAAAGTGAAACAGCCTTCCACTCTCAGTCCACTAATCTCTCAATTTAACCAAATGACAGTTTAACTCGTGCCCTGACTGGTAACTGAAACTCTTTATTCCAGATGCTTCCTGCTGAAGCATTCTGGCTGGTGCGCCACATCAGGACTCTGCAGTCCTCCCTGAGGTGTTCAGGGACTCTGTGGGTGCATCTCACTTCGGTTAACTTCTTAAGCCCCGAGCCTGTTTTTCAGGTCTCAGGCTCGAAAATGACATTCCCAGAACAAATGACCCTTCCCTTCTAAAAGGATTCAATTAATAATCTTTTTTCTCAAAGCAAGGTTACTGTCAGGGTTGAGTGAAGCAGGCAGGACCCAAATGCAGATTTAACCCGAAAATACCTTTATTTCAAGGCTAAATGAAACAAACAGAACTCTTCCCTGTGAACACAGTCAAACAACAACAAGGATCTAACAAAGATAGACAGAAAAACCAGAACTAAAATACACACAGGACTAATCAAGGAAACAAGAGACAGGTGAGGATGGAGGAGAAAACACGGGGGCACCAGGTGAACACAATCAGGAAAACAGGTAGGAGGGAACACACAGACAGGAAACCAAAGACTGATCTAAACAAGACAAAACACAACACAGACAGATCGTGACAGTTACACCTGTGAGTTGGATGTAGAAGTGTCAGAATCAATATAGATGTTTTTAATTTAAAGTAAATTCAGATTGAACACAGTAAAACATTTTAAATGATTGTGTCCGTCCAAAAAAAAAAAATTACTTATAGTGAAAACCACCCTTGAATGATGGGATGGTAGACTAAAAGCTTTAGGAATCCAAACTACAACCTATAATAAGTACCCTGTATCATGATTGATGCAAAACAAGTTACATTTGACCTTTTTAAGAGAGATTTAGCAACAAAAAAAACACTTCTGGGGTCATTTGACCTATCTCTGGCCCCCCTTGCTTGATTTTGCTGATTGACATCTCTTTCTAACCGTCAGAGCCAATGGAATCGAGGGGAACTCCCACATACTCCTTATTTGGTAATGTGTGTGTGTGAGACTGCCGCATAGCCAAGACCGGAAGCTGCGATAACTCTGGTGGCTACCATTAGCAGCTAACTTTTACTCTCCGATTTTTACATAAAAATTGAATTATGGATTATAAATAAAAAAATTATTACACAGAAACATTATCAACCTATGGATTAACCGATTCAGCCGCGTTCTTTCTCGTTTTAATGCCATTGAACAAGTCTTTTGATCAGATTGACAGCTGCGGTGAGACGATCTCCCGTAAAAGCTCCGTAAAGGTACATAGGCAATAGAGAACCGCGCGATGGCGCTGCTGAAAATAGTAACATAAGTAAAGATAATGAATAAATCCTATTAAAACCTGTGTGGCTTATATGATAAGTCTAATTAGTACAAGCAGCATAATTAATTTTATTTGGATTAATCTACCATTTTCTTTAGTTCAATTTTGATCTATAAAAATGTCAAAATAGTGAAAATGTTCACGAGACTTATCAAAGTGCAAGGTTATATCTTTAGATGTTTTGTTTTAGCCTATGTACTGTATGTCTTAATGCTCTTATATGTGACGGTGTGACTTCCATGAAACTAATATGTTATATCTTCCCAACAGACGAGCTGACAGGAAGCCTAACACTCTAACAACCACAACATTGCAAAGGCGAGTAAATGTAAATTAAAAACGATTCACAATTTCTTAATTTCTTCTTCTCTCTTGCAGTGAGGTGAAGCTGACCTTGCACTTGGTGCCAGTAAGGATGTTCCTCACGCAGGCTGAATGTTTCTCCCTCTTTACTGACACAGAAGCCCTTGATTTGCAATGCTTCACTAATTGTCATTTCCCTGGCTCCGTAGGGACACTTTACCTCCAGCACAGCGGAAGACCCTACCAGACCATCTGGAGATGCCCCCAACACTCCTGATTGGGAGAGCCACAAACCTGACTCATGGACCTGCATCTGGGTTGCAGTGGTGAATGCCCTGACGCCCTCACATTCATTCATAGTCCCCCACTGTACAGACAAAACACCATCAAGGGCCTGTTGTTGCCCTAGCACCCTGGCAATAAGGGAAGCAGTCACACGCTTTGACCTCAGGACAGCTCCAAAGTTGCTGGCAGTCAACCTTCCTTTCCTGAACAAATGCCAGTTTGGGTTGGTTCGCTGACCAGTGGTAGCCACCTCAATTGCCCTCTGTTGCTCCTCAGACAATGTCATGCTTGCCACAATTGCCTCAGGTCCCTGATGCCCAACAGATTTGAGAATTTCAGGAACAGTAAGTGTTTCCAGGCTGTAGGGTTCCTCTTCTGGCTCGGGGGAGAGAAGCCAAGAAATTCCTGAGAACCTGCCCCTGTGTCTGTCCCTCAGCCAGTCACGATCTTCGGAGGTGGGCTCTCTTGTCAGCGGGTTCAATTAGTTATTGGTTGGAGGAAATAGCTCCTCCACTGAATGTGTACGTTTAGCTGCCTTTGGCTTCTTCCACTGACAGTGGATGTCAGTGCAGCTGAAATTGTGGATGGCAAAGATAGCTAATGCAGCAGCATGACTGCATTTCCATTCTCCACGTGGGCATTCACATTTTGTGGAGAGAATTCCCTCTTCTCCTGTAGATACCTGTGGTGGTGGGATTGTTTTATTATTTAAAAATATATTTACATTTGTAATGCCTTCCCAATTATCCCTTTAATTGTTTATAGCCTACTGTATGTTTATTTCATTGATATTTCTGTGTTTTCTGGTGAGTAATATTTGTAATAAAGATTTCATGTGACACATAAAATGGATTTGTTGATGGGAATTAATGTCACTAATGTGATAAATTAACTCTAGGTTAACGGTACTCTTGCTATCACTACTCACCGACACTATAAACCTTGTCCCTCATGCTAGCCGACAACACCGGTAAGTACACCTTCATCTAGGCTGCACTGTTTTACGTGTCCTGACTTGTAGTGGTTCTCTCCTCTATCTACACTCTTCTTGTCATCTTTGTAAAACGATATCAGACTGGTCATTGACACAGCCATGACTTCTAGTGAAATTCAGTGTGGCTAAAATGAAAAGCTTTGTTAAAATATGCAAGCGCGCGAAAGTCAAAGTCAGCTTTATTGTCAAAAATTCGACATGTGTTATACATCCAGAAATATCGAAATATTGTTTCCCGCAGTCCCACAGTGTGACATGTATACATAAAACAAAACAAAAAGGGCCTAGATAACCGGGGTATACAGTTTAAAATGTTAATAATATATTTAAAGTGTTCAAAGTGCAGTTTCAGTGCAAGTCAGTTGAAACGATCTTAAAGGTCCCATATCATGGCCATTTCCACTGATCATAATTCCATTGTTGAGGTCTACTAGAATAGATTTATATTGTGCAATTTTCCAAACTCACATTGGTTTCTCATATAGCATCTCTGTAAACTACGTGTATTCACTGAATTTCACTCTGCCTTTAACGGCTCGTTGTAGCTCCAATAGCTCCAGCCTCCCTGTGAGCACAGTGTGCTCTGATTGGTCGGGACGTTGTGAATCGCGCTGAGCTCCGTGGAGGTGTGGTTTCCTTGTTTAGCGATACACATCGAAACACAGCAAAACTCATCCTGAGCACACACAAAGTCACAGCCGAAGTAAAAACAATAAGTGTGGCTTGATATTGAGTAAGAAAAAGGTTGATAAACGCTGTGAGAATGGGTCTGCAGAGAGAATTTCGCCGCGATCCCAACTGTCTGTTACGGAGCATCCACACAGCAGCGTGCGTTGACGCTTGGCGGTGGGCGTGTCTGAAGCTTGGGGATTTTTTGCGAGCAACGCAACCAACAACCAATCACATGAATCTCCCGCCCCCGACATACAAAGCAATAGCAATGTTAAAACGAAGTAAACTGGATATAAAATCCCCAAACA